CAGCATTGTGCAAGGTGCATATTTATGATCTTATTTATTGTTTGTATGACCAATCGATTTTTAAAATGTAATACAGTTTTGCAACTCCTCGGGAAAGTTGACTTACATGGCCCCTCTCCGATCCTTCTCTGCCTCCGGCCTTCCTCTCAATAAACTCCTTGAACTTTGGGTGGAGCGAGGTTTCTCTTTGACCTGAGGTGACTCTTAACTTGAGGAGGCTGGAATGAGAACAGTGTTGCCACACCAGCCTTTGTCAGGAAACAGCTCTGAAAAGAGACAGAGAGAAAAGTCTTGCGACACTCTTGTGAAACGGGGGGGGCACACAAACCCCATTCCCCCCCTTTTTTTTTCCTTGCGTGTTTGAGTACACAACAGTATGAGGAGGAAGAGGAGATTGGATTTATACCCCGCTCTTCACTACCCAGAGGAGTCTCAGAGCGGCTTACAAACTCCTTTCCCTTCCCCTCCCCACAACAGGCACCCTGTGAGGTAGGTGGGGCTGAGAGAGCTCTTGACAGACACTGCTCTTTTTCAAGAACAGCTGTGCATGTTGAGTATGAGGCAGTTTTGCCACCATCCCTGCCAGATGGTTCACATCTTCTTCCCTTTATTACCTTCTTCAAGCGAAATGATAGCTATTTCAGGGTTGCCAACCTCCAGGTGGAGCCTGGAGGTCTCCTTGAACTACTACTGATCAGGGGGCATCCATGATAGTCTGCAATGGAACAATGAGATTTGAGTCCAATAGCACCATAGAGATAAGGTTGCCAGCTCTGGGTTAGAAACTACCTAGAGATTTTGGGGGTGGAGCCTGAGGAGGTGTGAGAAGAGGAGGGACCTCATCAGGTCATAAGGCCACAGAGTCCACCCTCCAAAGCAGCCATTTTCTCCAGGGGAACGGCCTGAGTTGTCTGGAGATCGATTAGCGGGAGATTGTCAGATGCCACCTGTAGTTTGGCAGCCCTACTTAGAGACCAACAGGATTGGGAGCAGTGTTCCCTCTAAGCTGAGTTAGTGTGAGCTAGCTCACAGTTTTTTAGCCTCCGGCTCACACATTTTTGTCTTAGCTCAGGAGAGGCGGCTCCAGCGCAAACTGATTTACGCAGGAGCAAATCGCTCGCTCACAGCTTTAATGCCAGTCGCTCACAAACTAGGATTTTTGCTCACAAGACTCCACAGCTGAGAGGGAACATTGACTGGGAGGGGGTGGAATGTGAGCTTTGGGAGTCAAAGCTCACTTCATCGGATACAAATAGGAATGGAGGTCCCTGAGCCTTGATATCCCATTCTGGAGGTGGGAGGGGGTTTTGCAAAGAAGGAACTCAGGCTTTGGGTTCCCACTGTTTGCCAGTTTGGTGTAGTGGTTAAGTGTGCGGACTCTAACCTGGGAGAACCGGGTTTGATTCCCCACTCCTCCACTTGCACGTTCTGATGTGACCTTGGGTCAGTCACAAGCTCTGGCACAGCGGTTCCTGAAAGAGCAGTTTGTGTCAGAGCTCTCTCAGCCTCACCCACCTCACAGGGTGTCTGTTGTGGGGAGGGGAAGGGAAAGGAGTTTGTAAGCCGCTCTGAGACTCCAAGTGAAGGGCAGGGTATAAATCCAATCTCCTCTTCTTCTTCTTCTTCACTGGAAAGAAAGGTGGGGTATAAATGAAGTATATAAATAAATATTAAACCAGGAGGGAAGGGGAGACAGTCCCTTGCTACCCAAAGGGCCACAGGTGCTCACTGCTGCCCTCCCTGGTTTTTGTTTGTTTGTTTGGCTGTCGAGTCACAGCTGACTTAACGGCAACACTACGAGAGTTTTCAAGGCAAGAGGCATTCAGAGGTGGTTTGCCATTGCCTGGCTCAGCATCACAGCCCTGGAATTCCACATCGGTCTCCCAGCCAAATACTATCCAGGGCCGACCCTGCTTAGCTTCTGAGGTCTGACAAGATCTGGCTCGCCTGGGCTTCAGGGCTTGATGGGAAAGCCCAAAGTCTGCCCCTTCTTTGGCCAGGAGATGTTGCAGACTGAATTTTGATTGGATGTTGTTCAGTGGCACACAGAAGATGTCCCAAGGCTACCAGGAGGGGAAAGCAAGACCAAGAAGTGATCCCTGAAATTTCGAAGTGCAGCAGTGAATTAGATCCACACACACACACACAAATCAGAACCCACAAGGCAGAGAACAGAAGCAAAACATGAAAGATTTCATATTGGTGACTGCAGATTAATTTAAAGTGGCACTTTACTTTACTTACTTTACTTTACTTACTTACTCTCCGGGTCCCTTAAAAAAAAGAACTTCACCCCTACCAGATTTGGAAAGTCGGACCAATAAAATCTATGCCTACTTCACAGGGGCCATGTCTTGAGCTCTTTTGTCTTTACTTACTCTCTGGGTCCTTTAAAAAAAAAAGCTATGACATTCTTGTCATTTTGGAAAGTTGGACCAATAAAATCCATGCCTACTTCACAGGAGTGTTGTAAGGTTAAAAGCAGAAGGCCAGGGGCCATGTCTTGAGCTCTTTTGTCTTGAGCTCTTTGGAGGAAGGACGAGACAAAAACGTGATCAGTCAAGGCTCCTTACACGTCTACTGTCTTGAATCAAAATGCAAAATGCAGTGCCCACTGACAGTCACTGATATCACCCCCAACACTCATTCTCCCCAGCAGATGGAAGCATTGCTCCCAGAATCTCGCTTTTGCTGTTATGCACCTGATCTTACTCAGACACTGGATCCCATTTTCCCTGTTCTGCAGGTGTGGTGTATTCAGTCTGACAAAGTATGTATGTGAACTCACTCATTGAATCACCATGTGAAGCTTTCATCCTGGGCTAGGATCCTAATCCTTCAACTGTAATTGGTAGCCCAGGAAGAGCCAACCAATCACCAACAGCCAGTTCCATGAGAGGGAACACTTGTGATTGGTCCTTATCCGTACAACCTTATTGGTTGGTATTTGTATAGTAGGCGTGGCTACATTAGCCGGGAGAGTTTAAAAGCAGAACAGCTTCAGTGCTAAAGCTGTTCTGGCTATTCATGTTGATCTGTTTGGAGTTGAGTTACGAGTTGCTGAATAAAGCTGATCTTTTGCTGAAATCACTCTCTGACTCTTTGTTAAGAAACCGACTTAA